CACCCATGACCATTTCTATGATTTTACCCACGACTAATGGCTGATTAACTGGCCTCTCCCATTTTAAATATTGGCATATTCGCTTTCCACCCCTCTTCTGCAGCTTCCCCAGGACTCAGATTTGTTAAAATTGAACATTAATCATTCTGAGATATCTCCCAGCTAGTTCCTTTAAAACTGTGGGAGGTAAGGATGTTGAATCCCATTAGTTACCCAGTTAAGCATTATGTTTAACCAACAGGGTGGTGGGGGGCTGGAGCAGCTACTCCAGCTGGGCTAGAGCATCCCTGCCTGCAGTACACCCAAGCCAGGCACACCATGATCAGGTATTACTTTGGCCATGCTGGAGTGCCTCCCTCCCACCACGGCGGACCTGTGGGGCTGGAACAGCCCCCTGCCAACTATAGGTGAGAAAGCTGCTCCCACCCTGACCGGTTAACCAGTTAACCATTCACATCCCCAATGGACAGATTGAATTTTAAAGCAGTCAGTTATCTCATTTCACCTATTCAATAGTTAGTCATAGGGCTGAGAATGATTTATTTTCTTATTTGTTAGGACAAGTCTGTTTGGATCCACCCATGTCTGTAGTGACTAGTTTATATTTGGTGAGGGGGATCCTTGTATTTCATACAGGCACAAAGGCTAGGTGTTGACTGCGGCGTTTTTGCAGAAAAAGCAACGCAAAGTGTGGTCTGCATTTTGCGTAGCTTTTTCCGCATTTTTTTTCAGAAAAGCCTCCTCTTTCAGTGGAGAAAATGTGTTCCTTGGACGCGGTGGGGTTTTTGTGGGATACATCTGGTATCCCACAAAAACCCCATAGTCTAGACATAGCCAGAGAGTTAAGAATTTTAAGAGTTTGCTCTCAAGTCCTTTGGCAGTGGAACAATCTGTTACGCTACATAATGTAATGAAAGGTGGATATTGTTCACTTTCTGAAGGTCAAGAAACAGAGGGTTTACCCAGAGTGATAGATGTGTTTAGTGAAACTCTGAATACATTCTGTCATACTACACAGCTCCACCCTACTCTCCTCCCACTCCCATAGTAACACCTAAACTATGTGTCATTCCACCTACAGATTTATAGCAATATGTAAATAGGGTGAGTCACAGTCCCATATAGCAAAAGAAAAGGAATTCTCTAGTTATTTTAATCTGAATGGTGACTTTCGGGGTGAGTACTTCATGTTAATACCACAGGTTGATATACTCCACTCCAGTGCAGGGTGTTGATGTAAACTGGGAGATGAACTGGAGTAGGGAGGAGTTCAAGGAGGTACAACAGCAAGGGAGAAATCCAGTACTTGATTGATTTTTTATTCACATTAAATATTATGCCTATTCAAACTCTATGTGAAGTATGAACTTTATTATGCAATATGTCCGTAAGCATGATATCCACTTTTCCTTTCCTAGTACAGAACAAGACAAAAAAATCAGAGAATTGTTGGCCCTTTTGGAACAAGACACGTCACCCTTTGTTCTTATTCTCAATAGGACAGAAGCCACAAAGTGCCCATAGCAAAACTGGACATTTTCTCTTTGTTCCTGAAGGGAGTGAAGCCAGTCTGCTCTCAAAGAAGATAGTGGCACCCTATATTGGTAAGGGGCACAAAAGAACACTGAAGGATTGTGGATTAGATAAGTGTCTCTTGAGCACAAAGAAGGGGGTTGATAATTTTTCACTTTCCCTTTTACCTGCACCAAGAATCACTATGGCTGCTTAAAGACTAATTTTCATACCCAGGAATATAGAAGAGTTTGCAGAGATATGAGATGCTTAAATTGTGAAGACTATGGTAAGTGTGAAGGATAGTGATCATTTATTGTAAGTTTGCCTGGGCGGATTCCTTGCCTTCACTAGTTTTTGCAAAGCTCTATATAATACAGTACTGGTGATACTACATAAGCAATAGTTTTTGTACCACAGCCTTAAGTCCTTTTCCAATGTTTGGCCTATGTCTGCACTACAACGTTTTTGCACAAAAACAGACATTTGTGCACAAACACTGGTGGAGCGTCCACATCACAAGCACTTTTTTGTGCAAGAAAATCGATAGAACAGAGGGCTTTTGCTGGTAGAGTTATTCCTCTCCCCACGAGGAATAACTCCATTTTGCCATACAGCTCTTGCGCAAGAAGGCAAGTGTGGATGCTCTGGAGGGGTTTTTGTGCAAGAAACCCTATCAGAAAAAGCACAGGTGCTCTGATGGCCATTCTATGAATGGCTATCAGAGCTTTCTTGCGCAGGAGTGTCCATGTAGTGTGGACGCTTTCTTGCACAAAAGCACATCGCTTTTGCGATGCGCTTTGAGGTCTGGATGCGCTTTTGTACAAGAAGTATTTGCACAAGAACTCTTCCTCAAAAGGCTTCTTGTGCAAAAACTCTGGGCTACGTCTACACTGGCATGAATTTCCGAAAATGC